AGCCAAGAAAGGAGAGAAATGGAAAGTTTGTACCTCACTCACCAATACATATGTGTACACAGAATCAAACTAGAGAGAGGATAGAATCAAGCTTCCATGGCTACCCATGAGCACTGCCACGACGTACACGAACAGAGGAGGAAGGGGAGCACAGTTGTCAGCGATAACGCAGTGGTGGAGGAAGGAGAAGGTGCTATTGCACGAAGGAAGAGGGAGAGGAACGAACTCCACTCACAGCACCCAGATGACGCCAACGAGAAAGAGAAAACAAGGAATCAACGCTGAAGCTTGAGCAGAGATGGAGTGGGTAGATCTTGAGCGAACTCATAGTGAACTCGACACCCATGCCAGTGATCAACTGAAATGGAGGAGGCGAGAAGACGGTGGAGGTTTGATCAGAAGGTTCCCTCTCTCACTGGATTCTTGAAGATTTGAAAATGGAAAAAATGAAGAGTTGTGTGCGCGTGCGATTTATGTCTGACTCTATTTCTGTTTCTCTTTTTTTTTTTGGAAGGAATAACGGTAATATCATACAGATTAGACAAAATAAACAAAAGCAAGAAAAAACAAAATAATAAAGACTCCTTTTGTACACCACAAGGATTCGAACATCGGACCTGAAGATAAGCATAAATAGTAGTTACGAATGAACTACTAGAAAATTTTAAGAAGTCTGTACCAACAATAATATGAATACAGTTGAATAATATGAATACAGTTGAATTATGTAATTATCGATTTTTATTCACATTATTTTCCTGAATCATTACAATGCTCGTTTGTACGCTGCCATGATCGGTTCTAATGTGGGTGCTGCATCGAGATTTAGCTATTTTCGAGGCAAAATTCCAATGGGTTTGTGGTTTTGATCAAAGAGATACACTAATTGGTAGAAAAGAGAGGAGAGGGGAAGGTGAAGCTACAAAGAAAAGGGAAAGACAAAAGAAGAATGTTGAGGGCACCGAGAGGAGAACTTAGAATATGAAATTTGGAAGAGGATTTTGAAATCTCTTATCTGACGGTTAAGAACCGTCAAGTAAAATAATATAAATTTGACAATTTTCAGCTAAACTGTCATTTATGTAAATATATATTTTTAAGTTTTAAATTTCTTTTATATTTGTTGATTAGTATGATGGTTTATGTAAACAATTGTCAAATTTTTATTTATTAAATTTGACGGTTATTCTCTCAACCGTCATTTGTCATATCAACAACTGGTACGTGATTTTCACCTCATCTTATTTGACAATCATTGTAATAACCGTCAAATATAATATCATCAAATATTTAAAATTTTGTAATAGTGTATAGTAATGGAAAAGTCAAAACCAACAAAAACTTTAATACATATTTACAGTATCTACTAACTGCTAATGGTAATTATATTATGTATATCACTATTAACCTATTTAACATACTAAATATACATTAATATATTAATTATGACTATTAAATATTATTACAACTACTTATCATGCATTTCCTTTTCTTGTACATATTTTTATGCATGTATACTTATTAATTATATTATACTGTACCTATTTATTACTTATATAATCCTATATATGTATATGTTATTTGTATAAAATCAAAACATGGTTATATTTGAAAAATATATATTTTCTATAATTTTTTTTGGAGGGCGTTACAATATTTATGTCTTGTCCTACCTTTGTAATTTTTAATTTGAATTAGTAACGAGCATGTGCATGTTTCTACACACACTTTAATGTACGGGATTGGAGCCAATGAAATTTTCTGTTATTTAGCTCAGCTCTTTCAAAAATATTTTCTACATTCACATGAACTTAAATTGAGAAAAAGATAGATAAAAGTGTTAGATATTTTATTAAATTATACAATATATTTGATTATTAATTATTCTATTTTCAGTTAAATAAAATTTTAGATGTGTCCCACTAGTTAGTTGTTGACTGAGTCTAGGTTAAAGGATATTATTAGTCATTTATTTAATTAAGTAAACACAGTTAGATGGAAACTGTAAGTAAATGACAACTGTTTGAGTGAAAGTATAGTGTCTATTAGAAAACCTACTCTCTACTCTCTGAGAATTCCCTGACTAGTCAGAAGATACCCAGATAATCTTTCTTTTGACAAAACTTATTTGATTTCTATGTTCTTATCTGAAGTTGCTACTTATGGACACTTTGCATACTAGATCAATAAGCAATGACGAGAGATATTTCATAAAGGATTTCCACTGTGACTCTAATATATAATTATCTGTAAATTATATTTTTACATTGTATTTAATTTTCTCCTAGCAAAAAGGCCTTATATACTATACTAACTTTCCAAGAGAATAAAATGTATGGTTTACAAGAGAATATTTTAAGCAAAACTTGCTTTATTATTAGAGTTAAAAGGCATTTTTGTCTCTCAACTATTCGCTTAAGAATGTTTAATATCCTAAACTTATATATAGTACAATTTTCTCTTTCAACATTTAAAAATGGTGCTTTGTCCCCCTTGCCATTAGTTAAAATTGCAAAAAAAAAAAAAGACGTTAAAAATTACAGAAAAATGACTTAAAAAATTATATAAAAGTACCCTATTTATGATACAAATGTTATTTCTTATTCATGTAAAAAGCTAGAATACAATTTTGACTAACCAATTTAACCAGCTACTTGGTAATTAACAAATCACAATTGTTGGCATCAACACAAAAAATTAATTAAAAATATATTATAGTTGTTTTACAAATCTTCAGACATAATTTACAAGTTAATTTTTGAAATTTATATATTTCTAGAAATTTACATCTCAACTATCTATTATTTATAAATAAATGTGCTTTTTACACTAACTATAAATTTTTGAAAGGATACTTGTAAATTTTGGAAGAAAACTTATAAATGATCATATTATTTGACTTAATCGATATTAATTTTTTTATAAGGTACTAATTTAAATTTTTATGGATTATTTTCTATAATTTTTCAAGTTAACTAATGATTAAAGTCAACTTTATTAAGGTGTGACTGTCTAGAGCATCATTTTCAAATGTTGAAAGAAAAAATTGCATCTCATGTAAATTTAAAAAATTAGACACTTCTGAATAAATAGTTAAGGAATAAAAATGGCCTCTAACCCTTATTATTATAAAGCACGCGGTTTTAAAATGCATGCAGAGAATACAGTTTACAAAAGAAAAAAGGAACAGAACCTACTAGAAAATGATGTTGTGAGAGTAAATGGTAGAATATTCTTATATAATCTTTTTATTTTTCCCGAATATGTCATTAAGTATTTTTAAACAATGGATATAACCATGTACCAATGACATAACTAATACAAATGCAATGAATCCTCTGATAGCATCATTAACTTTCCAATTCACCGATAGCACAGTGGAAATTTACGGAGTAAATGAAATGCAGCAAATAAGATATAGAAATTTTTATAATTATATTTTCAGCCAAAGGAGATCCTTTATGTATTCACTGTACAACTCAAGTCAATGCAATTGGGGATTAGACAATCTTTCAGCGTTCCACAAGGGAGTCAAAGTCGTTGGCATGTTGAATACTCAATGTGAACTTTTGGGGTAGTTAGATGACGAAGTCAAATAATTAAGGACTTTTTTTTTTTTTTTTTACGAGTCAATGCAGTGCTGGATTTTTCCCTCTCCTTCCTTATTTTCTAGAGAAAATAATAATCAAGCATCTCTATATGAAATTTATATCAGTCAATGATTGTGAAAGTTAAATCTGAACTTTAAATAATCCCTTGAAGGGTTGGGATAGTTTTTTGAACAATACCAAAAGTGATAACTTGGTTATTGAAATGATACATTCAACTTGTAAAATTACTTTCTCCATTTAATAATATAAGACATTTTGTCAAATTAAAGCATCATGTTAAAAAATATAGGAAGAATTTCAGTTAAGGACCACCGTAGAGACTTAATTTTAGGTGGGTCCAAAAAAATTATGAAATTTTAATTCAGTCCGAGGGAGAAAGTCAAAAGAATTTTAATGGTAAAAAGGCCAAAATACCCTTCACTTGTTATATAGAATCACTAGTTAATTTTCTTACTTCACTTATTAATTTACAAATATGAGTTGCAAATTATATGAGTTAACTTGTTAATAATTATATAAAACTTGGTATCAGCTATTCAATCATAAGCAGCAATATCAATTGTTAAATTGCTAATTTTACTTGTTAATTTTCTAACATCCATTGTAAGTTACTGACAAGTTTTATAATTTACTAATATCAATTATAAATTATTGATAGATCTTGTAATTTACAACTAATGTTAATAAATTAATAAATAAAGTAATTAATAACTAATGTTATTGATTGTATGATAAATAGATATAATTTACAAGTGATATTGGTAAATTAACAAGTGTAGTAAGAAAATAAACAACTAGTGATTCTGCATAATAAGTGAAGGGTATTTTGGTCTTTTCACCATTGAAATTCTTTTAACTTTTTCTCCTGAACTGAACTGATCTGACATTTTAGAATTTTTTTGGACCACTACTTGAAATTAAATCTCTACAGTGGTCCTTAATTGAAATTCTCCCAAAAATATAGAGCATTTTGAATCTTTCAAAATACAATTGATAACATATTTTAAAAAATATCCTCAATTACGAAGTGCATGTTATTAATAATATTTTCTAATTGAGACACCTATTAAAAAAATAAACATAGGAAAAGTGTGTAATTTTATAAAAAACTTGTGGTTCAGTTACAGAAAATTTAGGGGAGGGGCTACCCTTTTGTCACGTCCCTCAATTAATATGAGCACGGAATTCTTGGTCCACCACTATGTATACCTTTGTGAGTAGAAATTAGATTGAGAAAATAAGGAAGAAGAGCGGAAACCGTGTCCTGATTACTCAGTAGACTGACATTGACCTGAGTTTCTTACTGCCTATAAATCTAACTTCAACTTGGGTAAGCAATTACAAGCCTCAACAATATTTTTTGATATATTTGCATTTGATTGAGTTACAATGACAAAATTGGATGCAAGATGGAGACCCATATGCTACGAAAGAGTAGACAAACTGATGGTTCGTAGATGGTCTGGTTCTGCAGACAATCGTTTCCTATTTGCGTCCCAGAATGATGATGTTATGATTTATGAATTGTACAAGGCTGTTCGTGATGAGAACCAAGATGTGTTCAACTTTGTCGGCGTATTGGACGAAGTTTGTGGACAACAGCAGATCGACTTGTCCATTATTGTCGATCAAGTCACACCTGCTGGTGATTCGTTGCTTCATGTTGCTGCTGAATTTGGGAGGAAAGAGATCGGAGAGCTAATAGCTTGTTTCTTTCCCAAGCTTCTGTATAAGGTATTAAGTATGCCTGAGGTAGTTTATTTTATCAAAATAATTTAAACCATTTGGTACATCTAAAGTTTTATATATTCAAGTCTTTATATTGTCTAGAAATCTAGGCTTATACTTTTTTTTAGTGTCAAGAGTTTTCTATTCAATTTTTCTTCTTCTTCTCCCTCTTTATTTTAATCTCGTTTTTCTCTTCTTTCATTCATTCTCTCTTTCTTTATTTCTTTCTTTTTTCTCATGTTTTGTTTTTAATGTTTTTTGTGTCTGATCAAATGATTCTTGATATCATGTTAAATTCTTTTTTTTTATTAAGTATGCTTGAGAGTAATCTATTTCATCAAAATAAGTTAAATCATTTGATTAAACATATCCTAAACTTTATTCATAATCTAACTTTCAATTTCTAGATGTGATATTTCTTCGTCTTCTTTATTTCCATTACAAGGCAAATATAAAAGGCGACACTCCACTTCATGTGCTGCTAGAACCAAGAATAATGAAGTGATGAAGATCATTCTCTTGACGTTTGAAAATATTGATACAAGTCACTTGATAACATCAGAGAACAAGTTTGGGAACACACCTTTGCATGAAGCTGTTCTGAGCAAAAATCTTGAAGGTGTTAATATACTATTAAATGCCCATGATGATACTGCTCTGGCTATTTATTGGAACAACCCTTATCCTAATAAATCGCCAATATATTTGGCAGTCCTAACAGACGATGTGGAAATTCTTCGTCGTCTCTTGCAAATTCCATTCCCTTCAAATCTGTCCATTTCAAAGTGCCGAGGAAACTCTCCTCTTCATGCCGCCATATTAGAACGCAAACCTCGTATGTGCTTTGTATGTATGTGTTTGTGATATTAACATAAAAAAATTAATCATTTGATCCTTATAGTTTTATATCAATTGTAAATCAATGCCTAAACTTTAATTCATTATAACTCTGTTCTTATAATTTTGACTTGGTAATTCAATTTTTAAACTTTGACTCACTACAATTCATTCCCTATAGTTTTAACCATTTAAAATATTGGTCCCCATATTTTAGAAAATAAAACTACAAATATTAAAATTATTTGAAAGTTTATGGACTAAATATTCTAAGTTACATTTAGGGACTGAGTTTTACTAAGTTAATATTTAAGGATTAAATTGCATCCGATTCAAACTATAAGAACCGATATACAAGTCAAAATTCAAGGATTGAGTTATAACTAAATCAAAACTATTGGGACCAAATAATTAAGTTTTCCCCTGTTAACTAATATTTTGTGTTTTTATTTTTCACTTTCACTTGATATATGTTTTCCTTTATGCGCAGATGTATTGCAAGAGATACTCAACGTAAGAGAAGAGTTAATGTATCTAAGAGATGAAAATGAAGAAACTCCTCTTCATTGTGCAGCACGCGTTGGTTACTTGGAAGGTGTTAGCATACTGTTAAACAAATCTACTTTGACAGCCTTTCAAAAAAATTCAGAAGGCAATCTTCCAGTTCATCTTGCCTGCGAGGGAGGCCATGTTCAGGTGGTCAAAAAATTACTTGAAGAAAAGTTTCCTTGGCATGATGTTAGACTTTGGCTCAACAATAATGGCCAAAACATGCTTCACATTGCAGCAATGAATGGAGAAAAAAATGTGGTGAAACACTTGTTGAGAAACCCCAAGATTATTCATGGTGAAATCATGAATGAGAGAGATGTTAATGGTGATACCCCACTTCATTTGGCTTCAAGAAACCTTTGTCTTTGGACTTTGCTCCTTCTGTCACAAGACAAAAAGATTGATGTGAACCTCGTCAATAATAAAGATTTCACAGCTCGAGATATTGTTCGAGTGCAATGTAAAATCCCAATGAGACGTCAAGAGGTATGATTATAAGTATTCTTAATTTTTTTTTAAGAATTTCTTTACAAAATATTTTAACAAATGCTTGTTTTATATTTACTGAGTAGGTTTGTTTCCCACTAGCTTCCTCCCTTCTACCCTCACCTCTAGGCAGGTTTCTTGTTTTTTTTTTTTTTTTTGGTTTTTCAAACCAACCCGCCCACGTAAGTGCAGTAGGGAGGGAGCCGGAGAGAATACACTGATTATATTTAACATAAACTGTTAGATTAGTTCTACTATTTATAGTCCTCGTACTTTTTAATTATATTTTATAGGAAAAATATAATTGGTTCGATCCCTATACTTTTAACATGTTTTGGTTTTATTTCTTATACCTTTTTTTTTCCCCTTGTTGCTTCTAGTCTCTTAAGTTTCATTTATTTGCAGTGTTAGTCCTTATTGTGACTGATAGTGTAAAATCTGCTAATATGTAAATAACTCTATTAATTATGTTGTTGAGTTTATAAAACTATAATGAGTTAGACATTGTATGAGCAAAAGGATTACTAACATTTGTGACTTTCTTCCTAACCGTCTTCTTCCTTCTGAAGCATCACCCATTGCAAATTTAAAGATTCTAATTTAATGTCCTGCTTGTTTCTTTTTGTCTTCTACTCAGTTTCTGATATAACTCATCATAATTTTAACAAGTCACAATAAGAAGTAATGGAGTTTATGTGTATGTTAGCATTTCTAACTACTTATGGCCATATTTAAAACTCAAGGGACTACTATTACATATGGATGAAACTTAAGAGACTAGAAACAACCAAAAAAAATATGACGACTGATACCAAAAACACACTAAAAGGATAAAGACCAACAATTATATTTTCCTTATTTTATATGATGATATATACATCTCAAGTAAAGATATAATTGTTGGATTCTATTACCATGTAGTTCCTAGCAGATGTGATTTTGAAATGTGCTGGTGTCCCCCTGAAGACAAATATTGGGTGCAAGGCATGTAGCATCTATCAATACAGAATGGAACGTAAAAGAAGCAGCCAACGCACTCATACTTGTGGCTATACTAATAGTCACAGTTACATTTGCTGCTGGTTTCTCAGTTCCAGGTGGCATACATGGTGCAGATGATAAAATCCCAAAAGAAAGAGGCACGGCAGTTTTTGGTTCTCAAACACTATTCGACATATTCATGACTTTCAATACAATCGCTATGTACAGTTCCACCTTGGGTTCTATTATTCTTCTATGGGTCCAACTAGGTGATCGTCGTTTTGCTGAAGGAGTGTATCGGTTTGCTAAGATTTTCGTTTATGTGGCTCTTTTAACCATGCCTGTCGCATTTCTAGCTGCTATATGCTTGACGATAAGAAATAATATATTACTTACATGTATTCTAAGTGTCATTGGATTCATCTTCATTTTCTTCATCTATTTTGCCCGTATTTTGGGAAGATTCTCACTTGGAATTTGCCTTCCTTTTGTTCGTCAAGCCGGAGCTCTTTTTATTAGGATTATTCTTGTTTTGTTTTATGGAAAGAATGATATTTTGATTGGTGAAGAAGGAGGAATAATCAATCAAAACTATGGAGATGAAAAAGGCAACCAAGTTGATCCCTTGGATAAGGAAGTTCATCAAAGCAATGAAGCATATGATGTCCATCTTGTCAATAGATTTTGTGCATTTAGGTCCTATCATTATTCTGGCCCATAACTATGAGTAGGGGTGTTCATACTTGTTCTCATCTCAATTGACTTTAGTGGTTCTATCGTCCTCTTATGTACATTGAAGCCATATTTAAGGGCATCTTGAATAAGATGTTGATGTTGATTTGTGAAATATTGTAGCTCACTATTTAGCTTATCTTATTCTGGATTCACCAAGCATTGCTTCGTTCACAAGACATGCTTGTAAATGCGATGACTTGATTTGTGATAGAAAAATGAAGAGGAAAACATACACAAAAATTCATATGACTCACATAAAACTAATATATATGGGTGTTTGACTATCTCCTACATCACCAAAAAAAAATTGTATGATGAAATGTTTTGAAAAATCATTTTAATTGGTTTAAACTAGATTAGGACATTAAAAATTCATTTCAAACCATATGATCATCACAAAAAGATATTTTTATCACAAATTTTAGGCGTAATTAGAAATGAAAATATGAATTGGTCAATTCAATTGAAAAGTGATAAATTTATCATTCAATGAGAGAAATTCTTGCATGGACGTAATGCACCACATCATCATGCTTTATCTAATAAAAATATGACATGTCAGATGTAACATCTTGGATTTAACTCCCAGATTTAATGAATTAATCAAGGTTAATTATGTGAATTTAGATGTTAAAAAATTTGAGGATTGTTTGAGAAGGCTAATGGGTCTATTGGTTTTGGTAACAGTATTTGGATTGGGTCTAGAGGTGTATTGAGCCACCTAGGCCTAAATTGAGTGAATATTCGCACTTGGCCATTGTATGCACTTTGCACCATGGTAATGGTCAAAATTTTAAAGATCATCTCGTTTGTGAGCTGCAAAACAAAGGGAGAAAGAAATAGAAAGGGAGAGTGATAAGAGAGCAAGAAAGCTCTACTATGGCTACTACTTTTAAGCTTTTTAGGAGTGATTTGAGTTTGGTTCCATCTAGATATATCTTTTGTACGTAAGGTCTCTCTTACTGATCCACATATCAAACACTTTTAGGTAATCGTGGGATTAACCCCAAGGAGTTACCATAACTAATCATCTTCAAAACACTGTTGAACTCAAATGGTATTCTTTCACAAATTGGGATCCCAAGTTTTCAAGCCATTCAAAATTATTTTCAAGGATATCAATCAAACCAAAATAGAGTTTAAAACATTTATAGAAGCATGTGATACCACTTTACACTAAAAGCATTGCAAGAAATTTGAGAAAAATTAGATAGCAAGAAACAAAGGTAGGCGTCGAGCCATGGCATCTACACACCTTGGCATGCTCCTCTATATGTATGTGCCGTGATGCAAACACCATGTACTATAGTGTATTGCACAGGATTGAGAATAGCAGGGGTCAACTCATGATATGCCTCAATTTTTTATCTGACATCCAATTGAGGTGAAATAGGTGGCTATAAAAAGCTCTTTTTACATACTAGATAGTGGCACGGGTCTTACTCCCAAATAATTTCACACAAAGGAGTGGAACACCTAAACTCATTCTCATACTTTTCACAATATATAAGATGCCTAAAACCTAACACTTATGCTATAAGCTACAACTAACACCTAGAACACACTCAATAAGCTTAAGATTACTTGTGCAATACCACATGCACAATATAACTCACATATATCATTCTCAACTCTCAAACCCTTAATGTAAAAATAGGCAGGGGAGATCTAATATTTCATGAAACATGATAATCATTGCTCAAATAATAAATTCTAATTCAATTCAACACTTGTACTAATGTTCTCTCCCTACAGGAAGCTTACTAAAACTTAAACACTTGTTCCAGGGCCCTAAAATACAATAAATTTTGTCATGTAAATAAAAATTCAAGTAAAGAATCAAAACGTGATCCTAGTTGGCATTAGCATCATAAATTACACATTATAATATCAAGAGGAACAAGATTCCTAAACCTTTGTAGCTTTTTCCTTTCTAATATTAGGGCTAGAGCCTAAAAAATGTTAAGAGAGAGGGGTGAGTATAACCACTCAGGAACCAAGGTTCCTCTATTCTATGTAATTACAAATTAATTGAAATTTTATAAGCATTGCTTATATGAGGCATGTAATTACATATATCACAACTTCACATATAACTCATGTTATTTTGTATAAATCATCATGATCTCATCTTTTCACATGTCAAATCATAAGGCACATTGCCATAATACTAATAACCATGTGACAATGGTCAAATCAAATATACAATGTACATTGCCACAATAATAACAACTATGTGACAATGGCCAACTCGAATATCATGACTTGCCATAAACTTAATAAATATATGACACATTAGATAATATACATGATCAAAACAACTTTTTATCCTCCTTATAACTTTTGACTGAAACCATAGGCTATCAATCAAATAGGGCTCCATCCGTGTAAATGGACTACCCAAGCTCACTAATTATAAGAAGTGACTTAGCTAAGGTCACTACACTCATTCTCAAACTATAGTTTCTCCCATTCTCAAATCTCCAAGGTGTTGTAAAGCCCTAAGTTAGTCTCCTCAACAAACAGGTGGAGATAGCTAGGTTAGAGTCCCTTGACAAACAATTAGACAGTTCCTCGACAAATAGTAGGATAGTGGCTACTTCCTAATTCTAACAGTAGGTAGCTAGGCTAGCTTTCAATTCCAACTATAAGCAGCCCATACCACATGTATTTTTGTCACTACTCCTCTCCCTAAGGAAACTCCTACCAATACGATCATGCAATCACTCATGCTCATATATAGCATGTTATCAATTTATAATAGTAAGCTCATTTATAGATTTACATCAAGCTTTAACATGTGAGCATTGTATACAGATACACCTCATTCTATCATAATGATCAACACAAACCTCCACATATCATCATATATACCATTTCATAGCCTCAATTATGCTTTATAAAACAAATTTCATAATGGCAATTAGAAATTTCAGCTTTATATATTAAAACACATAGGAATTCAAATCAATTAACATCCAATTATACTAAATAGATTCTCTCGATTACCGTAAACCTTTAAGTGATTAAAGGTTACTCCTCAATAATTGCTTCCAACGTTTTCTCCCAAGTCAAATTGGTGCACGAGATGATTGACCTACAATTAATCAAATCCACAATTATCAATATCACCCCTTTTTCAATCTTACTTTTCCTTATTTTTCTCCCATTTTAAGGTTCAGATAACTCGACTTCTCTCCAAACCTACATCTAGGGCTAAAAACATAACCTAAAACACTTATTAGGTCTCTCTACCCATACACCACACTAATCTCACCTATTTATCCTTAATTAATTTAAGTAATAGCTGGTTAAATTTTTAGGATGTTACATCTTCCCTACTCCTTCTCCTTCTCTTTTCACATTTTGGAAGAAAAGTTTTGGGGTTAGAAGATGATGATTTTTAAACTTACGGTTATGGGTCCAAACCTATTAGTTTAAATTGGATTAATAGGAGTTGTTTAAGCATTTCACACCTAAATTAGAAGTTTTTATAGGGTTGAGAGCTTGGGTCTAAGGTTTTAGATCAACCTTAGACACTTTAAGTTTGATTTTAGGTTGTGAGGTTCTATGATTGTTATTATTTAAGTTAATGGGAGTTACTAAAACTATTGGATGTGAGATTGCACTTGTAGTTAGGAGTTTGGCTTAAGCAAGTGTGAATTTAGAAGCTGAAAGTGGTGTTTATGTTGATTATTAGTAATGATTATGGTTATTAATTATATATTAACTTATGGTACACTATTTGAGCTCAACTCTAGCTTAAAAAGCAAGTGGTAGAGGATTAACCTTTGAGTTATCAAAGGTTTAAGGTAACTAAGGATTCTACTTTGTATTAATGCTTGTTAAATTGATCAGTGGTTATTATGAACTTGAAATAGTAATTCTAATGTTTAATTTGATATTTGTATGATTTGAAAAATGTTACAAGTATGGAAAACTTTAAATTTCAGCAATGTTTAATATTAAATTGAATATACAATTTTGGAAAGTTAAGTTGCGATATGAACTCTAACATGCGCGTTAATGATGCATTCTTGTTGCATTGAGTATGTTGGCATGATCATATATAAGGTAGGAGTTCGGCCTAGGAGGAGTTAGTGCTATTTTTGTTTACATAGATGTTACCAACACTATAGGTGGCATTGGTATTTGGTTTAGGGTCAAGTCTTCCTAAACCTCACCATTTAATATGTGTAAACATAAGTCACGTGAGCCCTTAAGCCCTTAACATCACCTTAGACTGAATGTAAGGCAAGGCTTACAAAACCCTGAGATTCAAAAATAAGGAAATCTATGATTCGAGAGTGAGTGCAGCACCTTAGCTAGGTAGCTTATCACGATTGGTAAGCTTGAGTTAGTCCATTCACTTGGACACGATGCTATTTGAATTGCTAGCCCTCAGATTCAGTTAGTAATATAAGGAGGAGATAAGGAGTAATTGATTATGCATCCTATTTATCATGTGACGTGATATGGTTTTGTAAAGTCAATTGATTTTAAACACCTATTTTTCATGCCTTAACTGAGTTGACTTGCATGTTCATGATTTAGGGTTTTCTTGGTTAATAAATGATTGTACTCACCCCTATTTAACATTTTACAAGCACTAGCTCTGAGAAGGATAAGATAAGGGTACCAAAGGCTTAGGAATATGTATTCCTACTATATGCCTCTTATCTTGATTATTTAAGTGTGTATTTGATTATGATATTGCTAATTAGAACAATTATTTGGAATGCTTGTATCATTGCATTACTTTGTGTTAGTTGAATGTATGTTGTGCCCTAGGTTATGCATATGAGGATTATTGTTTAAACGGGGCTCAAAATACTAGTACAAATAGATTTATGATTATTTTACAGGTTGTAATGATGATTTTGGAGATTTCAAGTTGTTTACCTCCCCTTATGATTTTTTTTATGAAATTGGGGTTTAGGAGTGAAAATAGGAATGATCAATTATATGTATGTTTTGGTGCATTGT